TTTACTAACAAAATCCTCATTACCAATCCTCAATAGCATGGGTTGATCGTTTAACCAACGAGCATACATCTTTATGTTCTCTTGAAAGTTTTCTGTGGAGGCTGCAATTAGTTTCTGCATTGAATTCTTATGCTTCTTAACCTTTTTCAAGCAAAAAATACATATCTTTGAAAACACTCCACTTGAACCTGTTGGTATTGCTGTTGGAATTCTTGAACGTGTCAAGGGAGTAGAACTAGCGTCTTTCGTATTGTTTTGGAGACTTTTCCTTTTAGTTTCCGACAGGGCAATGAATCTTCGATAACACTCTATATGAAATCCATGAGTTTTGGTTACACCCTCAGGAAGCTGGGTATCCTTGTACTTTAAGTTTCCTTCTTTCCTTGCTGCTAGGATAGTCTTGCACTTTTCCAGAGTGTTTGATGTAAAATAATTAATTTTTCCTATTTCGGAACCTTCTCCTACATGCAGAACACAACATTTACCTACAGGATATACGAAACTAACATCACTAATTACAAAAAGTGTAACTTAGAAAATTTTACATAATCAAACTTGCCAATATTTTCATGGTTTCCTTCTGTTACGTAATCAGTATCAGTGGAATCAGTCTCACAAGCGGCTATAAAATAAAATATTGATGAATGATTATAATATTATATTTTGCTAAAACTATTTGTAAACTCAAATAATTTAAAATACAATTACATGACCAAACTTACCAATATTTTCACTGTTACTTTCTGTTGCGTAATCGGTATCGGTTGAATCAGTCTCACAAGTAACTATAAAATAAAGTAAAATATTGATGAATAATTATGGTTTTAAATTTTGTTAATACTGCTTGTAAACTCAAATAATTTACAATACAATTACATGACTAAACCTACCAATATTTTCACTGTTACTTTCTGTCGCGTAATCGGTATCGGTTGAATCAGTCTCACAAGTAACTATAAAATAAAATAAAATAAAATAAAATATTGATGAATAATTATGGTTTTAAATTTTTTAATACTGTTTGTAAACTCAAATAATTTACAATACAATTACATGACTAAACCTACCAATATTTTCATTGTTACTTTCTGTTGCGTAATTGGCATCGGTTGAATGAGTCTCACAAGTAGCTATAAAGTAATATATTTATGGATAATTAGTCTTAAAATTTTTAAATTCATTGACGAGAATTAGTCAAAATGTTATTCAATAATTAGGATATGATATTTCCAGTAACTATAAGAATTTAAATGTACCTTATCAGAAGTGACAGGCCTTGTTTGCCTTACATACATTTTTTGTATTCAAAACTTGATATAATTACACTATTATTACCTGACATATCGAGTAACAATGTCAGTCACCTTTGGCCATGGAGTAGTAGAAGCTCTTACTTCAAGTCATCAGGTGCTTCAAAAATGGATTAAACTGTGTTAATTCATGTGCCTATAATTGTTTTAAGATAAAGTGACAAGTTCGTAATATTTTTTATGACGTGATTTAATAATAGCGAAGTTATCTCAAGTATTTAGTATTTTCAAAATATAAATACGAATCTTAATTGAGTCCACTAGCTATAAATTTCGATAAGTATATCAATTACCTGAAAAATAACTAAGAGTAAGAATCCGTTGCTTTTCTGACTTTTATGCATACATCACAGGTGTTGATTCACTTCGTTTATATTGAGAGCATTATTTTCCCAGAAAAACAATAAAAAAAGACAATTTAATACATTATATTTACGTTTACCAGAGACAAACAAACATAGAAGTAATGAAAACAACTTGCTATGGCAAAAAAAAGTACATACATGCAGTAATTTAACACAAACAGGACTTAAAAACACAATATTATAACGTATTAAGTACTTACAGTTTCGCCATCTTTGTTGTTCTGGAACAGTACTTCATGTAAGACGAAATGAGTTCTACTTCGCGTATTTGGTAAAACGTTGTCTGACTTAACAAAGGAACCGTAATTTTTGGTAAACTTTGTTGCCAATTACCTTTTTATGACATGAAGATTGTTCACACAAAGATTTGAGTTTGTAGTTAATGGGATCTAATGATGATCCCGGATTGTATCTTTGCGGGGGGTCTGACTAAGTGTTAGAACCGTATTTTTCGGTTAGCTTTTCCATATTCTCTTTTCTATAGTACGACTGCATATGCTAGCACAATTACAGCCTTGAGGCTAATGAGGTCCATTGAAGGTCCGAATTCGAGGCGTTTGTAAGGGCCTGGACCCCAAACGAACCCAAATCGGGCAAGCTGACCAATGAAAATTTTTTGCCCTTGATGGTACCCTTTCATATTGGGGGTCAGCACTTTTGAGGAAAATGGGTCATAATGTTATGTTAGTAGCTCCTGGACTAAAAGGGGAAAGGTCTATTAATTAAAAACGTGGAATTGACGTCATTGGTTATTAAAAAGCGATTAGATTCTGTAAACAAGCTTTCGTTCGTGATAGGGATTCAACTACCTGAAAAATATAAGGAGAATTTCGACGTTTCGAGCGAAGGCGCTACGTCGGGAGTTTGGCAAGTAACTCCAGACCAAGGACCTTCGCTGGAAACGTTGAAATTCTTCTTATATTTTTCAGGTAGTTGCATCCCTACCAACGAAAGCTTGTTCATATTATTGCCACTACCTACACTGGCACAGACACTTCAAGATTAGATTCTGTGGTTTTCTGATGGATGTGAATGAGGAGATGAGTTATGAATGTTCTGAGTATATGTACCCTCATCTCAACATTCATATCCACTCGTTCACATCCATCAGAAGAAGAAAATCGCACTTAAAATCGCAGCAAAAATTTGCGAATCTAAAAGGGGCCTTTAGGAATCGAAATTCACCAAATGTGTAGAATTTCTGAAATGGCAATAGTTTAGTTTTACCGCGCGAAATTCAAAAGTTTAATAGTTTTTGCGCGCGAAATTCAAAAGGTTAAAACACATTTTGAGTTCATGGGCGAGAACATTGTTATGTGTTTTATTAATGGTCCAAATATCAGAAAAATTGCGCAATTTTAAGTCCTTCAAATAGCTGCTGAAACTTTCAATTTTTGGCACCAATGCCTTTCAGCATGCATCATTCATGCATGCATTTACTTAATTTGCATTTTGTGATCGTAAAAACATTATGGACCATTAATAAAACACATAAATTTTTTGCCCATGAACTCAAAATGCGTTTCAACCTTTTAAATTTTGCGTGCAAGTTATTTCTAATGCTGCTAAAAAAGACCCCCCCCCCCCCTGCTCTGGAAAATTTATCTTTACGAAATTGTTTTGTTTATTCTACATTATAAGTACCCAAACAATCTATATTTATCAAAGATTTCATGACACGAACAGATTTGTGAAATTGAAAGCCGTTTCAAAATTGTCTACTTTTTTCTGATACACCCTGTAGATAGAAAGATAGATGGTTTATTTCATAAAAACATTGCAGCCAATAGGCTGAATTACGCTTATATTTACAAGTTAAGAAAATATTAAAATACTATACACTAGGTATATATTATA